ACACACACACACACATTGAAGATACATATACAGACTTACATATTAAATATGTCTGTAGATTTCATTATCTTTTTTCAAAAGTCAAAGATTTTTAAAATTATTATGAAAGAATATTGGTTACTTTGCCTTACCAAAAGCAAACCTGGGCCAGGCATGATGGTGCATGCTTGTAGTCCCAGCACTTGGGAGGCAGTGGCAGGCAGATCTCTGTGATTTCAAGGCCAACCTGGTCAACATAGTGAGTTCCAGGTCAGCTGGGGCTAAAAGACCAAAAGAAAAACCCAAACCTGGTAAAAGGCCTGCACCAGTCACCCTTGTGTTGCTATGAAAGAAACACTGACCCAAGCAATCCGCAGAAGGAAGAGTCTACTTGAGCCCACGGTTCCAGGGGAATCAGTCTGTCATGGCAGGGAGGCACAGCGGCTGGAGGTGGCTGAAGCAGGAGCAGCAGAAGCCAAGCTCCCACACCACCACACAGGCACAGAAAGCAAGAGTGTGGCTGGAGATCTGGCAAGGCTCAAGAACTCTCTAAGCCCATGCCCAGTGACATGCTTCCTCCAGGATAGCCACACCCTCTAAAACCTCCCAAAACAGCGCCATCATCTGGGGACAAAATGTCCAAACACCTGGAGCCTATGGAGGACATTTTCATTCAAACCACCACAAGGCCTAATTTTGAAATAAGTAATTTTGTATTTAATTAAAAGAACTATGATACTGCCTTCACTTAGAATGTTGTTACAGACTTGGGAAAACTTTTCAGGTATAGTGTCAGGAAAAAAATTACTTTTTGGGGAAAACTTTGAACTCCAGTATGGGCTGGAGAGATGACACTGTGGTTAAGGTTGAGAGTGCTTGCAGCTCTTCCAGAGGACCAGAATTTGATTCTGTTTTTGGGGGGTCTTTTTGAGACAGGGTCTGTCTGTAGCCCCAGCTGTCCTGGAACTCACTATGTAGACCAGGGTGGCCTTGAACTCATAGAGATCTGCCTGCCTCTGCCTTCTGAGTGCTGGGATTAAAGGCGTGCGCCACCATGTCTGGCCCATGTCAGAGGGCTCACAACTGCCTGGAACTCACGCAGCTCCATGGAATCTGATGACCTCTTCTAGCTTCTTTGGACACCTGTACTCACCACATATGCATTTACGTACACATAAGTAAAAAACAAAAACCTTTAAAAAAAAATCAGCCAGGCATCATAGAATACACCTTTAATCCTAGAACTCAGGAGGCAGAGGCAGGTGAATCTCTATGAGATTGAGGCCTGCCTGGTCTACATAATGAGTTCTAGGCCACTTAAGGTTACATGGAGACCCTGTCTCAAAAAAAAAAACCAAGGGGCTGGATGGATGGCTCAGTGGTTAAGAGCACTGGCTGTTCTTGAAGAAGACCCAGGTTCAAATCCCAACACCCACATGGTGGCTATAACCATCCACAACTCCAGTTCCAGGGTATCCAATGTCCTCTTCTGTCCTCTGTGGGCACTGCATGACACAGGTGTACTTATACACATGCAGGTATAACACTCATACACATAGAATAAAAATAAATTAAGAAAACACACATGAAATAAAAACAAAACAAAAACTCAAAAAAGTAAATAAACCTCCTGTAAGATTTTTTTTTTCATTCAAAAGTTAAAAATTTTAGGGCTGGGGATATAGGATGTAGTGCAGTAGAGTGCTTGCATAGCATGTATAAAGTCCGGGGTTGATCTCTAGTACTGCTTAAAATGGGGTGTGGTGGCCCACACCTGTAGTCTCACACTTGTGGGGTGGAAGCAGGATTAGAGTTCAGGCCATTTTTGTCCACATAGTGAATTCAAGTCCAGCTTGGTCTGTATGAGACCCTTCCCCCAACCCCTGAAATCAAAAGACAAAAAAAAAAAATTAAAACTGTTTTAGTGGATGATCTAATGGACGCTGAGAAGTTTTTTCCAGGAGAGCTAGGCCCGGTTTTGGAAGGGAGGTTAGGAATTAACTAGAAGGAGCGGTGAAGCATTTTCCAAGTCATGTGTCACTCTACCAGAGTAAGAAGGTACTTCTAGGGGGGCTGTCACTCCCTGGCAGTACTAGCGTGTCCCTGTGTCATGATCATATTCCTGTGTCAGAATTATTCCTTAGATTAATCAGGGATCGTTATTTCCATATGGACTTAATATTCATGCACAGAAGAATACAGTCATGGGAGGAGGACACTTCCAGCTCAGGATGATAGCCTGGGTAATTTTCCGTGTTAGGCAGTGAAACTATTAAGCTAAGAATGTATCTTACAACATATGTGATTAGGTATGACACAGAAACTCTAGGTTTCTTTAAAATCTTCTAGATATCCACCTGCCTCTGCCTCCCAAGTACCAGGATTAAAGGTGTGTGCCACCACGCCTATTCTTTCAAATCTTAAATCTAATTTATATCATCAGCAAACTACTCTATAACATAATCAATTTGGTGTGCACTCAGACCAAAGGCCCAGATAACTCTGGCCTTAAATGTCACACAATCTTGTTTAAATGCTGTTCAAAAGTTATCTTAAGTCAGGGTGACACATGCGTGTAATCCCAGCACCTAGGGAGTTGAAAACAGGAGGATCATCTCAAGTTTGAGGCCAGCCTGAGCTACATGAGACCCTTCTCAAAAACAAGTGTTATCCTAAAATGGTTAACATCCTTTTTGAACTATAACTTAATTTGAAATTATTTAAATAAGTAGCCTTCCTACATGGCTGTGTTTTACCATATATATTTTCTCAAGTCTATAGATATAATTTTGAACATGAATAATATATTTTTCCTATCTCTTACTTTAGGCTCCATTACATGACCCCTGTGCATGTGCTTCTTTTATGGGTTTGAAGCCTTCCACCAGCAAATACCATCTTGTCCGAGCAATACTAGAGTCAATAGCGTTCAGGTAAAACCTGCCCTGAACTCCCTCTGCCGCCTTCATGCTTTGCCATTTCCTTTATTAATTTGCTACCAAGCTGAAATTTTCTTTTTGCAGTTTTTTTTTTTTTTAATGGTCTTTTTGAGACAGGGTCTGCCTGTAGCCCTAGCTAGCCTGGAACTCACTATGTAGACCAGGCAGGCCTTGAACTCACAGAGATCTGCTGCCTCTGCCTCCCGAGTGCTGGGATTAAAGGCGTGTGCCACCACGCCTGGCTTTGAATAGTACTTTTAATCAAACTTTTTTTTCTTTTTTTTTGGTCTTTTTGAGACAGGGTCTCCCTGTAGCCCCAGCTGACCTGGAACTTGCTATGTAGATCAGGCTGGCCTCGAACTCACAGAGATCCGCCAGCCTCTGCCTCCCGAGTGCTGGGACTACAGACGAGCACCACCAGGCTTTTTTTTTTTTTAATGTATATGAGTGTTTTGCCTGCATGTATGTAAGTGCACCCATGCATGCAGTGCCCATGGAGGCCAGAAGAGGGTGTTGGAGCCTCTGGAACTGGAGTTAGGTGTTAGCCTCTATGTGTCCATGTGGCCTGGTTGAGACAGCAACCATCCTACTCAGGCTGGCCCAGAACTCATCTTGTAGTTCAGTCTGGCTTCAGTCCATGCTGATCCTCTTACCTCAGCCTCCCTAGTACTGGGCTTACAGGTATGAGCGACTTAATTTTATAAAACAAAACGGAAAAGAATTCTCTTGATTTCATTTTTTTATTATATATTTTTTTATTATTGTGTGGGTGGGTGAGTGCATGCCCATGTGTAGAGGCCAGAGGACAATTTGTGGAGTCAGTTCTTTTCCTGCATGTTTATGTGGGTTCTGTGCACCAAACTTAGGTTGCTGGGTTTATATGGCAAGGGCCTTTACCTGCTGAGTCATCTTGCCTTCCCCCTTAATTTTAATTAAATCATTTTACTTAAGCTTTCAAATTAGTGTACATGCTATAATCTGTTCTTGTTGCTTATTTCCTGTTTTTTCCATATTTAATAGTTACAGTATCTCTTGGATTTGATCCCTGAAAATGGAACGATTTTTAAAATACCCAGAGCTGGGAATACAGGTCAGTGGTAGAGCATGTGCTCTGCATATGTGAGGACCTGAGTTTTATCTCTAGAACCACACAAAATAAAACTTTTAAAAAAAATCTAATTTCCTCCCAGCACTTGGGAGGCAGAGGCAGGCAGATCTCTATGAGTTCGAGGCCAGCCTGGTCTACATATTGAGTTCCAGGTCAGCTGAGGCTACACGGAGACCCTGTCTCAAAAAGACCAATATATATATATATATATATCCATTGAAGGCTGAGGGAACTTTAAAACAGAGCAGGGCAAAGTTGGTCTCAGAAATCCATAGATGTTTTTCGCATTAGGAATCTATAGTTCCCAACTGTCAATGGGAGGAAATACTACTAAGTATGGCCCAATGCTTTCTACATAGTTAAACAATTTCTTAAGATCTGTTAAGGATGGTTCGTAGCCCCCTTGTGGGTGCTGGGAATCAAACCCGGGTCCTCTGCAAGAGCAGTGAGTGCTCTTAACCGCTGAGCCATCTCTCCAGCCCTCAAATTTTGAATTTTCAAAGCTATAGAGTCCTTATTCATGAGGGAGAATTCAAACCAATACACTCCATTATATCCGAAGACTCAATAATAAGAATTATTCTTCATATTCCCCTTGGTCTTTCGATTATGGAACAAGTATAGTTATGGTTAATACTGCTTTTCAGCATGGCATGATTTAGAATCACAGGGGAAACAAACCTGGGCATGTCTATGAGGGGGGTTTTAGATTGTGTTAATTGAGGTGGGAAGACATACTGTGCTGGATAGCTTTAGTGTCAACTTGACACACCTGGGTTGAGGGATCCTCAATTGGGGAATTGCCTCTATTGGATTGGCCTGTGGCCATGTCTGAGGGGCATCTTCTTTATGACTGATGTGGGAGGGCCCAGCCCACTGTGGGTGGTGCCACCCCTGGGCAGGTGGGCCTGTGTTGCATAAGAAAGCAGGCTGAGCAGGGGCCAGGGGAGCAAGCCAGTAAGCAGTGTTCCTCCATGGCCAGTGCTCCAGCTCCTGCTTCCAGGTTCCTGCCCTGAGTTCCTATCTTGGGCTCCCTGATGAACTGTGACCCGGGATATGTAAGCTAAATAAACCCTTTCCTCCCCAAGTTGGTATTGGTCAGAGTATTTTGTCACAGCAATGAAGAAACAAACTAGGACACATACCCTAACTGTGGGCACCACCATCCATGGACTGGGTTCTGGAATGAATAAAAGGGAGAAAGTGAGCTGAGCACCAGCATTCATCTCGCTCTGCTTCCTGACTGGATGTGGTACAGCCAGCAGCTTCACACATCTATCACCTGTGCCCTCAAACTGTGACCCAAATAAACCCTTCCTTACTTAAGTTTGTTTTGGTCAGTTATTTTATGACAGTGATGAGAAAAGAAACTAATACATGTAGATTATTAAGATTAAGGCTAGAACGTCACTAGGTGTGGTGTCACAGGCCTATAATCCTGGAATTTAGGAATTAAAAAACAAGAGGAGGTCAAGGCCAGTGTTGACTACATAAGGAGCACGTTCAAGGCAATCCTGGCTAGGCAACCCCATCTCATAAAAAAATTAAATAATCAAACTGTCAGATGTAAGGACTGATTCTATTTCAAATACAAATTTTGTGATTAAAAATGATTATATGGGGCCTGGAGAGATGGCTCAGCAGTTAAGAACACCGGTTGTTCTTGCAGAAGACCTGGGTTCAAATCCCAGCACCCACATGGCAGCTAACAACTGTTGGTAACTCCAGTTCCAGGGGATCCGACAGCCTCTTCTGTCTTCTGTGGGCATTGCATAACATGGGTGGCACTTACATTCAGGCAATACACACATACACATAAAATAAAAATAATAAATAAAATATTTTTAAATGATTATATTTTATGTATTACATGTTAAATTTGTAGTGTATCATAGTAAAGGCTATTATGGGCAGTTGCTTTAAATTTTTCTTTATAGAATGGTAATAAACCTGGTTGTGAAATAAAACTTACGTTATGTTATATGAAGATGGAAAATGCAAGATGGACCTGAGCTTGCTTAGTTGAGCATAGCTCAGGCAATCTTTAGTTAGCCAGTATTTATTTAGTGGGTTTTTTGCATCTTTTACCAATATCAAGTAAATAAAGCCATAGTTCCTTTTTTTCGAGACCAGAACAAAATACTGAATCATTATGATTTGAATAGCCTTTAAATAATTATCTTTTCTTTTAACTAGAAACAAACAATTATATGATATGATGCAGAAGGAAATCCAGATTCCTGTCACGAATATCCGGTATGTGAATTTTGTTTTTGACAGGTTCAGCTTAGTGGTGAAGTGCTTCCCTGGCATGCTTGAATCCCTGGGTTTGAACCCAGCACCACAAAGCTATCAAACCAGAAATGAAAAAAAAAAAAAAAGACACAGTAGCTGCTGCTGTTTTTTTTCATTCTCGGGATTTGAAAAAAAAACAAAAAACCCAAAACAAACAAATAAAAAACTAATGCCTAACTCCTTGACAATAGAATTTAGCCATAGTGATTTGTTATTTTGTCTTTTTTTTTTTTTTTCTTTCCGGAGCTGAGGACCGAACCCAGGGCCTTCCGCTTGGTAGGCAAGCGCTCTAGCGCTGAGCTAAATCCCCAACCCCTAGCCATAGAGATTTGAAGAGAAATCCAGTTTTAGATTTATGAGAAAATAATGCAATTTTGGTGTGGGAAGCATCAAATTTTTTTACTTCCTTTATTGTCTAAATGAGTTGGCTTAGTTTATTTTACTTGGTCTGATTTTGAACTAGAACCAAGACACACAGGACAGAAATGAAACTGATGGCAGGAGCAGAGAAAAGTGTTCATTTGGGAGAAGGGGAGTCACTGGCTTCAGTTGTGCATCCACTGCTGAGCCGGACAGACAGCCCCATACCCACAGTCACACAGACAGTGCATCACAAAACAAAACTAATGAGACACAAATGGGAGGAGGAGATTTGTAGGGAAGGAATGGGCAGACAGAGGTAGCAGAGAGATGGGAAAAGCTGGGGATGAGAGTGGTCAGTATGCATATGTACATATGTGACACTGTCAAAGAACACATTTAATTAATAAATAAAAATTAAAAAAAAAAAAGCGTTTAGCCACTCATGGTGATACACAGCTTTAATCCCAGCACTTGGGAAGCAGAGGCCAGCTGGGGCTACAGGGAGACCCTGTCTCAAAAAGACAAAAAAAAAAAAAAAAAAAGTATTTAAAGATTACTCAGATTCTGTGGGTCAAACACGGTTTGCTTATGCCTGCAATCCCAGCACTTAGGAGATAGTGGCAGGAAGATTAAGAGTTCAAGTTCATCCTCTGAAATATAGTGAGTTGAAGTCAACCTGGGTTTCATGAGACCTTGGGTTGTTTGCTTGTCTGTCTGTCTTAAGGGGGAAAAAAGATCTTGTCATCAACTCATTGTTAAGTTAGTATAATTTTGAAAGTAAAAAATAAAAAACTACTCAGGTTGGTGATGTAGCTTAGTGGTAACATCATCTGAAAAACCCTGGGTTCAACTCCTAGCACTCTTCCCTCCAAAAGTTAAATTTGTAACCCACATAAGAATTATGTAATCCACATAAGAAGATTTAAAGATGGTCTCCTAGTAACTTACTTCACATACTTTGCTTCCCACAGGGCAGATGGAGGAGTGTGCAGCAATGCTTTTGTCATGCAGATGACTTCGGACTTGATTAATGAGAACATAGACAGACCTGCCCACATCAACATGTCCTGCTTAGGTGCTGCTGCTCTAGCTGGCCTGGCTGTTGGTATGTGTGGCTTTTATAAAAAGGAGAGCTTCCTTGCAAGCTATTTCTGGGGCTGTAGTCATTTTCTACAGTCACAAAATTGCAGAGAGGGTCTAGAAAGCCTGGTGTCCCTTACGGTCTGTCATACATAGGTCTATTGCTCACAAAACGTCATCTCCCCCTGTTGTGTCTGGTTACACACTCCCTCCTTGTTTCACTCCCTCACAGGAACTTCTAAGTGAGGGCATTTATCTCTCTTGGCTGCTTTGGGCTCTATCAAGGCGGGGTCTTGGCGTACACAGTGTTAAAGAAAAGACCTGTAAGGCAGACATAGTTCAGGGTCTGTGAGGTATGGAAACCACTGTAGTCACCGCTTGGAGTGGGCAGTAGGAGGAAAGGTGAGACTATAAGCCAGTGAGGACAAGATGTAAAAGAATTAGCTAAAAGAAAATGTTAATGGTGAAAGGGAATTCTAGCTAAACCAACCTAACAGGATTCTTGCTGAAGGCAGGCGGGGATGACCAGATAACACCTGGGTTGGTGGCCATGAGGTTTCCAGGGTCCAGATATTCAGGATTGGGGTTTATGGCTAAACTGACTTACTAGAATTCTTGTTACAACTTGATAATGCAGGCATGAACCTGGAGGTTCAAAAGTTGAGACTAAATTGAGAAAGCTGAGGGGAGACTGAGTAGTTTGAAAGAGAGTTTTTGCCACTAGGCTTATCTTTGTTTCAGAAATCATCCCATTCTTCACTTGTTGAACAACATTTGCTGAGCACCTGCTGCGTTATAGTCACTGCTGGGAATAAAGACGTTAAAGCCATAGCCCCTGAAAACTATAAGCAACCGGAGTTCAGATTTTGGGTGATAAACTCAGTGAAGAGCAGTGGAATGAAGCCAGTGGTGTAGACATTCCAGAAGAGACGGCTGTGACTGGGCTTTGAAAGGGTTAACAGACAGATGAAGAGAGGATAAGTGGGTGGTGGCGCTGGGGACGGGAGAGATGGCTGGGCTATTAAGAGCCCTGACTGCTCTTCCAGGGAACCCACCCACATGGTGGCTAACAACTATCTATAACTCCAGTTTCAGGGGCTCCAACTCCTTCTTTTGGCCTCCATGGACACTGTGCTCATGTGGAGCATATCCATACATCTATGTAGGCAAATACCATATGCATAAAAATAAATAAATCTTAAAAAAAAAAAAAAAAAGAAGTGGGGTCTGGAAAGATGGCTCAGTGGTTAAGAGCACTGACTGCTCTTGCAGAGGACCCAGTTTGATTCCCAGCACCCACATGGCACCTATCAGCCATCCATAACTCCAATTCCAGGGACTCCAACACCCTCTCCTGGCCTCTGCCAGCTTTGCACAACACAGGTACACTTATATACAGGCAGACAATACATGCATACACATAAAAATAAACAAATAGGGGCTGGAGAGATGGCTCAGCGGTTCAGAGTACTGACTGCTCTTGCAGAGGACCCGGGTTTGATTCCCAGCACCCACATGGGGGCTATGAACCGTCCTTAACTCCAGTTCCAGGGGAATCCAAAACCTTCTTCTGACCTCCGCGTCATTGCACGACATAGGTGCACTCACATACATGCAGGCAATACACTCATACACATAAAATAAAAATAATAAAGTATGAAAAAAATTAATTAATAAAAAAAATAAGTAGGTGGTTCTTGTGCTGCTGTGGAGAGAGTAAGAGTCAGGTGCCTGCTGGGCTCCCCTGAGACCCAGCCATGGTGATAACCCCCTAAAGAGAAAAGGACAAGAGGCACACGTGGGTCCAATTGTGGTGATTTCAAATACAGAGACTCTCTGAATTGATCTTGAGGGCAGTGGAGAGTCACTGAAGAATTTCAGCAGGACATGAAAACTGTATGGACAGATATGAAGGAGGCAGTGGGGTTGGTGAGATGGCTCAGTGAGTAAAGGCATTGCTGTGTGAGCCTGACCACCTGAGTTTGATTACCAGGACCAACGTAAAAGTGGAAGAGAGAACCAACTCCACAAAGCTATCATCTGATCACCATATGTTTACTGTGGCATGTGTACACACAAACGCATATCATGTACACATACAATAAAACTTTAAAAAAATGCAAAGGGAGGCAGGAGCTAGAGAGATGTGCTTGCAGAGGATATGGGTTCAGTTCCCAGAACCCTCACTGGGCAGCTTTCAGCTGACTGTAACTCCAGTTCCAGAGGCCCCAACACACATGTGGTTCACTTGCATACATGCAGGCAGACACTTATACACATAAAATAAGAATAAAAAATTTTAAACTTCTATAAATTAATACCCTTGAGTATAGAGTCCAAAATACTAAGTTCATAAATGAAAGAAAATTTTAGAAAAAAACAATTTTATGTTGATTTGGTGACAAATACCTGTGAGTCTTGACACTCAAGATGTAGAGGCAGGATGATCAGGAGTTTCAGTTTAGTCTCAACAACATGAGATCCTTTCTGAAAAACCATACACACACACACACACACACAGATAGCTCAGTGGTGGAGGACTTGTCTAGCATGTGTGAGGTTCTCTAAAGTGATTTGTTATAATGCCATTCAGAAATAAAGCAAGGAGTTAAAAACCAAAATGATCTTTAAAACAATTTTATTTATTTTTATTTTATGCATATGAGTGTATTGCCTGCATGTGTGTAAGTGTACCCATGTCATGCAATGCCTACAGAGGTCAGAAGAGGGCATTGAATCCCCTGGAACTGGAGTTACAGTTGTTAACTACCCTGTGGATGGTGGGAAAAGAACCTGGGTCCTCTGCAAAAGCAAGCGGTTCTCTTAACCACTGAGCCATCGCTCCAGTCCCCAAATGATTTTTTAAATCCTAGTAGATTTATCCCCAGGGAGGTCAGTGAACTACCATTCGAAAGCCACAAAATATTTTGGATTATGTTTTAACATAGTAATTGTTTCCCTTGGCGCAACTCACATTAAGTTTGTAGATAAATTTCATGAACTCTTCATTTGCCTTAAAATTTTAAGAAAATTTTTTTATTTCCATATGTAGGGTTCTGGACTGGCAAGGAGGAACTACAGAGACTGAGGCGAAGTGAAGTGGTTTTCAAGCCACAGAAGAAATGGCAAGAATATGAAGTGAATATGGAAAACTGGGTCAAAGCGGTGAAACGCTCCATGAATTGGTATAACAAGATCTAGCAATGAGGCGATGACCAAAACCCGACCTGCCTGGCTGGCAGGATGTGCAGATGAGAAAACACTCAGGGACCCTGACACAACCGTGCCTGAGAGGACAACCTTCCAAATGATCCCCACAATCTGAGAGGAAAAGTTCTTTTTAAAGATTCACAAAAAAATTCTTACTTTTTAAAATCCAGATCTTGGTGAATTTATAAGGCAGCAATCCTCAAAATGTATGTCTAACAATTTCCAAAGGACATCGCCGCTTCCTACTGTATTTTGACAGTTGGGTCCTCCTCTCTTTTAATTTTTTTGGTCTTTTTGAGACAGGGTCTCCCTGTAGCCCCAGCTGTCCTGAAACTTACTGTGGAGACCAGACTGGCCTTGAACTCGCAGAGATCCGCCTGCTTCTGCCTCCCGAGTGCTGGGTTTAAAGGTGCATGCCATCACACCCGGCTTCCTCCTCTCTTTTTATACAGGGTCAGTGCTACATATATCAGAATTCTGGGTCAAATACCATTCACATTTTTTTCAAAATTATGAAAAACTAATTATTCAAAATCAAGTGGGCTATTTGAAGTCCATTTAGCTAAAAAGGAAGAATGATTGAAGAAATGTATATTGTCAAAGCATTTCATGTGTAAAGCCATAATTTTTAAATGTCTTAGCCAAATATGAGGTCATTGCATCACTCTGGGATGAGTTAATCAACAAGTTTCTTTTGGGCATAAAGATACTGCCTTAATTTTCCCTTGCTCAACCAAAATCTGAGTGTTCTAGTTTGTTGTTGTTGTTGTTGTTGTTGACCTGAAACTCAAGACCTTCCTGCCTCAACCTCTTAAATGCTGGGATTATAGGTATGCATCATCATATATTGAAAAATATATGGAGTAAAGTGTATTGAAGCTGGACATGGCCTGTGTCTGTCTGTGAGTCCAGCACTTTGGAGGCTGGGGAGGAGGAACACGAGTTTGAAACCCACCTGGGAAATACAGGAGTTCCAAGCCAGCCTGGGTGACATAGTGAGATCCTGTCTCAAGGAAAAGAAAAATACAATACCTTTTGTTTTGTTCTTTTGAGAAAAGATCTTGCTGTGTAGTACAGACTGGCCTCTAACTGGAGCCTCCTGCCTCAGTCTTCAGAGTACCAGAATCACAGTTGTGAATCATCATGCCCAGCTCTGATGCCGGTGTGCCAGGGGTGGGGGTGGGGGGGTTGATATGTACATGTGAGTGCAGTTATCCAAACAGGCCAATAGAAAATGTCAGATTCCCTGGAACTGGACTTACAGGTGGTTGTGAGACACCTGACATGAATATGCTGGGAACTGAAGCTGGGTCCTCTGCAAGAGCAGGAATTTCCCTTAACTACTGAGCCATCTCTCCAACCCCTGATATTCTAAAGGAACAGAAAATCACAGTTTAGTCTCCTTGTCAAATAGCATTTCGTGGGCTAGGGATATCGTACTGGTGAGACACTACCATGCATGTAGGAGTCCTGAGTTCCGTCCTCAGCATTGTTTAAAAAAAAAACAAAAACTAAAATTGATTTGAAAAGTTTTCTGGCTAAAGTATAACATTTCTATTTTTTATAAAATGCAAGAGTTAACACAAATCTTTCTTTAGTTATTGAAATGCTTGCATAAATATATTTTAAGTGCCTAATAACAGAGTTTAAATTTTTATTTAGTTTTTGTGCCAACAGGGTTTCACTGTGTAGCCCAGGTTGATATAAAACCCCAGATCCTTCTCTCTCAGTCGTCCAAGTCCTGGGATCATAGAAGTGTGCCACCATACCAGGTGCCAGAGTTTAATTTGAAGAAAATGCCCTAGTTACTTAAGAATTGCCCTCTTGGGGTTGTCCTACTTGTTGATGTGTCTTTTGATGTTTGTGTGTCCTGTTCATATAGCAGTGGCTAGCTGATAAAGAAAAAAAATGATAGAGTGTGTCCTTAATGATGATCATAAGGCCACTGACCCAGAGTGTAGAGAAGTTGAAAGAAGCCTCAGGCTGGATATAAACCTGTCATAGGGCAGATGACCAGCTCTAGCCTGTTCCCCATTTGCTTGCCCTTCTCTGCATTTGTGTGAGTGAATGAACTTATTCCTCCTTTGGTCAGGATTTATCACAGAGTCCTACCGTTGTAGAATTAGCTACTGCATGATTATGTGATTGAAGGAATGATGCTGCTGTCCTGTGTCCATTTTGGAGTCATTTCTGATAGAAGAGAAGTTAAATTGTGTTTCTGCAAATCGTTGCAGTGACTTCAAGTGTCTTCTTCCATTGTTAAACTTTTTTTTTTTTTTGATGGAAGCATTGTAGCAAATATGTAACATTATTAACTCCATTCAGATTTGGAAAGACAGCGGGGTGGCTCAGTGGGTGAAAGCACTTGCTCTGCAAGCCTGAGGACCTGAGTTCAGTCCCTGGAAAGACCTTATATAAAGGTGGAGGGAGAGAACTGACTCCACGGAGTTTTCCTATGACCTCTGTGGGTCTGGTGGTGTGCACACCTCCTCTATAAGAATAATAATTTTTAAAAAATTGGAAATGTTTTTGTTTAAAAATATCAGCTGGGTGTGGTAGCGCACACCTGTAGGCAGAGGCAGGCAGATCTCTGTGAGTTCAAGGCCAGCCTGGTCTACATAGTGAGTTCCAAGACAGCTCGGGCTACAGGGAGACCCTGTCTCAGAAAGACAAAAAATAATTTTTTTTTGTTTACTGTAACAAATCAGATCTTATATAGTTATCCTTTTTCTTTAAACTTTGTTTTTAAGATTTTATTTTGTAATATTTTTTAAAGTATGTGAGGGATTAGGGGTATATGCACTTGAGTACAGGTGTCTGAGGAGGCCAGAGGCACTGGATTCCCCAGGAACTGGCGTTACATGAGGATGTGAGCTGCTCGGTGTGGGTGCTGGGAACTGAACTCAGGGTCCTTTGCAAAAGTATGCTCTTAACCACTGAGCTGTGTCTCCAGTCCCCACTCCCCCTGCTTTTAATTTTTTTTAATTTAATTTTTTAATTATGTGTGTATGCATAGGGGAGGTATGTATTCTTCTCTTATTTACAACCTTTTTACACAGCTTTGTGGTCAAGTAAAGGCTTTCCCATTAATCATATGAAAGCTGCTTTATTTGAGTATTTTTTATGGGTTCTACTTATAGGTGTGATTACATGGGAAACAATTCTGTCCTTTTGTATTAGGATAGAATAAACTGTAATATTAATTACTAATGGTTTGCTAGCCCTTTCTTTCCTACATTCTTCTTTCTTAACATAAAACTGTGAAGTAAAGGATAAATACCTTAGATAATATGGGAAATAACTTCAATAGCTCTCATTCGGATTAAGTATCTCTTGAAAGATTGGTGGCTATAGAATCTAATCTTTTGTTTTTTATATTTTTGCCCATTTTTTCAGTGACACAGCTTAGTAAAATCTTATGTCAGATTTAACCAAAATTGGAAATATTATGTCATTTACTTTTGTAGTTAAAGAAATAGTTATTGTGCTGGGATTAAAGGTGTACACCATCACGCTACCTATACAATGTATTTTGATCATATTCAGACCCCTCTAACACATCTGCACCCCCACCTTAGTATCTCACACCCAGACTTCATGTCCTCTATTATTATTTTTTTAATAAAAAATAAAAACTCTATCAAGTGGGCTGGAGAGATGACTTAGTGGTTAAGAGCACTGGTTGCTCTTGCAGAGGTCGGGAGTTCAATTCCCAGCACCCACGTGTCAGCTGACACCTGGAATCCGCAACTCCAGCTCCAAGGGATTCGACACTCCCTTCTGACCTTTTGCAGGCATTGCACAACACGGGTGTACTTACACACATGCAGGCAATACACTCATACACATAAAATAAAAATAATAAAATATTTTTAAAAACATAAAGAAAAGAAAAGAAACAGTTATTGATAAAAGCAATTGAACAAAAATACCTATCCCTTTGTCTGCCTCTCATTTGTATTCTAATATTTATGAAAAAATTAATGTGCAAAATATTTCTCAGCATGTTTTCTTTTCCTATTATAGACCTATCAGCTATTTTAAGAGGTCTCCAGCAAATTCAATAAGGAGGAAAATGCGCCTGTAAGGTCCATCTTAAAGTGGTACTAACTGCTTTTATACTGTAACTTACTAATCTTCAAAGCTTTTTGTATACAGCTATGACATGTTTTCTGTATCAGCACTGAATTTTAATTTTTAATTTTTATTTTCATTAATTTTTGAGACAGGGTCTCACTATGTAGCCCTAGCTGGCCTGAAACTCACTGTGTAGACCAGTAGACCAGGCTGGCCTTGAACTCATAGAGACCTGCCTTCCTCTGCCTCCTGAGTGATGGATTAAAGGTGTGCCCCATCACTCCCAGGAACAGTAACATTTTGGACTAGATCCTTTGCTTTGGGATGCTGCACTAGACACTATGGGATGCTTAGCAGTCTCCCTGACTGCTACGGTCCAGCATCTTCCTGGTTTTAATGACCCCAAATGCCTGTAAACATTGGCCAATGAATAGAGTGGCATTTTCTGATACTCTCCGCTTCATTTTACCTTAGGAAGTGAATTTTAGCAACAAAAGAGGTAGTAGTATCTTAAATAGAATTCCTACTTTGCTCTGTGTAATGAAGAAAGAAAAAAGCCATGTTGTAATTGTGTATTGGTTGTTTGTGTCCCTCAGTCCTCATGTCTGTGCTTGGATCAAGCTTAGGGCCTTGGGCTGGCTAGTTAAGTACTCTGTTACTGATCTATATCTCTAACCTAGAATTCTCTACTAGTACTCCTGTGACTCCCCCACCACTACTTCTGTACCGTCTGCTCTTTATTAGTGGGGATTTGACTTCATGATAGGACTAGTACATTCTGCAGATTATCTGTGATTTGATCTGTCCCCCACCTGCCCTGCCCCATTTTTTGAGACTAGGTCTTAGTCTGCAGCCCAGGTTGGCTTGGAATTCATGACAGTCCTCCTGCCTCAGCCTCCTGAGTGCTGGGATTCCAGGTATGAATCACCATACCTGGATTGACTTTGCTTTCAACTCTGAATGAAGGAAAAGATCACTGTCCCAAACCTTCACCAGACTGGATGCTTCCTGAGGGCAGAAGCCATGTTTGCCT